TGTTGCATAAGTCATGTATAATGTTGTATAGTGCCATATAGCCTTGATATATTGTTATATAGTCTTGTATAAAAAGCGTTGTACAGTGTCGTATAGGCTTGTATACTATTGTGTGGTGTCGTAAGTGTTGTATACCATTGAAATCCTAATAAAATAACCTTTCGAACGGGGGGTCAAGTGCCGTCAGAGCATTACACAAACCGAAACAATCATATATTTACTCACCGCTTGGCCAAAGATTCTAGATTTTATATCTACAAGATCTTGAATATCTCTTGAACTTTTCGTCATTTTCTGAACGGCTATATGTGTAAAATACTCTTTGTATCCAAGCGCTTTCGTGTAGAAAGTTTGGTATGTATACGCCGACTAGAAATATTTATTTTGAATTTTTCAAGGTATCGGGTTTTAGTACGTTTACTCGCACTTGCGAACATTGCGCAATAATTGGCCAATAAGAAGCTCCTGTTGGCCGGTATGACGTCAAACTCACGCGTGTAGGTGCAATTTGACCTTGCGAATCCATTTCTGGCCTTTCCAGGGTCATATGATACAAACGTCGCATTGTTTTGACGGTTTTCAGACGTATTTCCGGTTGGGATTAACTCACTTCGAGCTCACAGTCGGACAAGAAATGGAAATATATTGATAAAAGATACAGATTTGAAGATACAGGCTTGCAAATAACACTCTAAATAGTGTTTTTGATGGGGATTCGAACAAGACTATTACAAAGACGATATGTGCGAAGGGGCCGAAGTTATTTTCAGCGAAAGGTATGGCTAGTCTATATTTTGTTCAGACAATTGCGTAATTTGATACAATATTATCGTGTTTGACTTTCAAAGGCCCATAAATCGTTACAATGTTAATAATGACAATAACTATCGTTTGGAACTAGTCTATCTTTTATTTCTGAATCGATTGGTGGTATTTCTGTCTTCATAGCATGCACTGAACCGAAGGTATGAAATTTTATAGCCGTCGATCGCTCAGGATCGACGCGATATGGCCTGTGGCGAGAAAGAGTTAATAAGTTCACCTGCTAACAATATATGTAGTTTTTGACAGTTTTTTGTAAAAAAAACATATGGACAGACAGGATATATGATAGTGTTATGCACTTGTATTATTAATAGTGTTATATTTCCATTGTTAATAGTATCGAGAGTCCTTGGGCCTTGGGCATTATATTTCTAATTATTCATTATTAATAAAGTTATTAACTGCGAGTTATTCCAGGTTATTAAAGTAGAATTGACAACACTTGATTTTGTGTCTAGTGACAATCGTATAATAGCTAAATGTGTGGAGGTAGATTATACATCGATAGTCGCAGAAATAAACTCTGGAATTACCCATATATACTTAATATTTATTAGCTATTCAATAGTTTGGAGTGCTGAGAAAATGACCTGTTTATTACAGATATTAAACTGCTTTATTAATTTAAAAATATTGTTGTAACATATATGCACGTGATTGCTAAAATAAAGTACGCTTTTCATTGTTTAAAAATTTTAATAGTGTCATGCTAGAATTATAGTGTTATTTTGTTTTGAACTTTCTAAAGAAATTTTGAACAACCTAACCGAAAGTTTTGGCTGCGAGGAAGCATTTTCCGTAAGTTCTAGTTATAAAAAGAAAGTGGACTGGAGCACTGTTCCTTCCAGGAGGGTGGTATTGCTAGAAGGCAATATTGCCCTATGTCATTGTATAAATGTTGTAATAGAAGATAGCATTTCCTGTATGTAAAGCTATTAGTTCACGCCTGTCAAAAATGCATCCAAAAGCGCCAATATGCGATACGCGGTGGGCAGCGGTTTTCGTTGCAAAAGTATTAAAAACATGCAAGTTACATGAAGTATACTGAGAGAAACTTTCAAAATGGCGGGCGAACAGAGTGGAAAATTTAGGACTATTGACGTAGTTTTACAAGAAGTTGTTTGCCATAATGCTGGAAATGATGGGAAAAGCGATGGGGCGACGAAGATAGGGATGCCTTGTGCACAGTGGCCGTAGAATCGGAGCTGGACTCCGACTGAAAGTCGTTCTGATGATCTCTCAGTTGGCATATTAATAAAATGGCATGCTGTGGAAATTTTGGTCACTCCACAATGCCCTGCACTGTTTCGGCATGAATCGAGATTAGGGCTGTCAGCAATAAGTCGTCGACTCAGCGGAAAGCGGAGTATTAGACATCGATTTCATGGTGAAATATATGGAGATATAAAGATATTCCCTTAGAGCTATTTTCCATGCTGGGATCAGAGATTGGTGAACAGCACTCCTGAGTATCGTGAGCCTTTTTGCTTCCTTGGGAAAAACAAAAATAATTATTTATAAACAGTAAGATCTCTCTTACTTTTATACAGCAATGCACTAAAATGAGTAAAATGTAAATACAGCAAGTAAAATATTGTTGCATCTCAGAGCATTGTCGTCTTAAGCAAGATATGATCACCACCATCTACATATAACTGCAGTATATTTTTACTTTCACCCATCTCAATACACCCTTTCGGTAATGAAATGACAAATACCCCTTTGGTGTAGAAGCCGCACTGTCATAAAAAAATAAATTCATGAACAAAAGGTTTCCTGGAAAAGGAAAGAATTGTGACATAAATATGAAAAGAGTGTATTGCAAGGAAGACAACTTTTCAAGGAATATCTTGATTTATTTCACTATAATACAGCATTCTACAATATTGAATGAACCAGGAAATGTTTCTTTTTCTGACCTGCAATATTGATTTCATTTCTGATGACAAAAACATTTGCCAGAAATGATTTATAGCATAGCACTTGCTGACAGCCATAATCATGTCACAAGTTGCAACAGTGCTAAGACACTGAATGTGATGACAACAACATGGCTGGGAATATGTTCTAAAAATAGGTACGCGACCGCGTACATGTATCTGCGCATTAAAGGTCCAGACACGCCGGACGCGATTCGACAACGCGACGCGATTTTTCGATTTTCACTGACCGTTAAATTTAATCCAAGTTTAAATATTCCAAATATTTAGAAGCGCTATAACATTCTAAGTTACTTGGTCTACATATGTTTCTAACTGATTTGTCTCATTGGCTGTTTTTCAAACTAACTGAAAAATCGCGTCGCGTTCTCGAAGCGCGTCCGGTGTGTCTGAATCTTAAGGTCTGATTCCACGACGGCGAAATTCGTCGCGAGAACTTGTGTCTGCGAAATACGGTGGTTGCACATGAGCGATTGTATTGAATTGAGATCGGAAGTTTGTCCGCTTTCGCAGTAAGTAGAAATGTTTCGCATTTCGCCGAGAAAAAAACGCTCGTGGAATCAGGCCTTTACTGCATTGATGGTGCATTCTCGAAATTACATTTTTACAGCAATTGTGCGAAATTGTGCTAGTTGAAATTATATGCCTGCTTCAGATATAATATTTACATTTAACTAGTGACTTCTAAATTAAGAGGACGAGAACCATTTATATCCCGAATCACGGCAACTGATAACAATCATACAAAAATGTTTCTTTTTATCTGGAGCTAAATATCTGCTATTCATACAGTTCATTACTTTTAAGAACAATTTAAAGAAAATAATTAATTAAGGCTGTAAAATGTGTGGATTTAAAGACGTGGGATTAGACGTCTGTACATGGAGTCATGAGCTAATAATAGTTTCTGACATTTAAAACAACAGGGCTACGTTTATCCTATACTTTGTTTTCATAGTTTAGCCTAGTTTCAGAGGCCTGCATTAAATAACAGTCAAGATATATACGCAAATATAATTTGCGTGTCTATTTAAAATTTGTAATTGTTTCGTGAAGATTCAACCATAAAACAATTGCCGGAAATGCAGGTCCTGTTTATAAAAACTCAGGGAAAACCCGTGCGGTATGAAATGCATGGCGTAAACATGTCAATCAAATATCTATAAATATGACGTTTTATAATTGCACAGTACATCGTGTACGTTCTTGTTGTAGAACTTGTGTTGCTCCAAATCGAGTATGAAGTAAAATCAGGAGCATACTGTCACAGGCTAATTTTGTATTTTAATACCTCTGGAAATATCAAGGCTTTGGTACCCCTATCTATCACAAAAAGTAACAAATCCAAAACGAAGTATGAGGACTAATATTTTTATATATATCATTTCACAGATTAAAAGTATTATTCAAGAAATATGTCCATTTTGATCTTAACGTGATACAAAAATACTAAATAACATGCAAAATTCAGTGCCAAAGAGGGATTTATTTTGCGGTAGTTAAATATGTAAACATATGTTCTCAAACTGGCAGAGTTTAATACCAATTAAAGCTCGCAATGCTATATATTTGGTTTGATACGAAGATAAAATAGTAAATACTCATAATAATCAAAATTCAGTGCCAAAGAGGGATTTATTTTGCGGTAGTTAAATATGTAAACATATGTTCTCAAACTGGCAGAGTTTAATACCAATTAAAGCTCGCAATGCTATATATTTGGTTTGATACGAAGATAAAATAGTAAATACTCATAATAATTACAATATGTCCATGACCTTACTCAAAAATTTAGATTATTAAATCACATAATGGAACAACTTGCAATTTGCTACGCTCACTCGTTAGCAATATTCTCTTCAACACTCGAAATAAATTACATATTTCCGCACATTCGCACAACCATGTATAAATATTCTCTATACATTCCAGTTTACCTTTAATTTGTCAAGTGGTAGGCACAATATTAGTCCTTTTGATTTGTTATTCCCTTTCCCCAACACGGGAGTGATAGGAGCTTGAAAAAATGACAGTTGAATACTTGCGTGTAATTTGCTCGGAGCAATTTGCAATCAACATTGCAAGATTGATTGCAATGTTGCAATACTCATGGGAACAGAACATCCGGTTTGACTGTAAGAGTTATCAAAAAGACTGCTATAGAAGAAGATTTTATCAAAATAAAGTCAGGATAAAGTCTATTAATAGTGCAATCAACATTGCAAGATTGATTGCAATGTTGCAATACTCATGGGAACAGAACATCCGGTTTGACTGTAAGAGTTATATCAGTCCAAGACTGCTATAGAAGAAGATTTTATCAAAATAAAGTCAGGATAAAGTCTATTAATACCACGTTTACTAATACTACTCTTGAAAGCTTTTCGAAAGACGCCATCTTGTTTTAAAGCTGTTCTAGCCTGCGAACAGGTCTTCAAAACAAGGTTGACGGACTTAACGAGTTAACAACTTAACTTACTTAACTTTACTTTACTTTACTTTACTGACTGACGCGATAGCAATATATCTGCGCTACGCGCAGATACAAAAACTAGACCCTTATTGCACACATTGGACACATATGTAGACCACTGTTTGTTTATGCTCCTGTTGCTTGATCGCAGTGGGAATCGAACCCACGACTTTTGGTTTTCTTACCAACTTGACCCCATGCATGTATGGCCTGGCTGGTAGAGCATTGGACTAGTAAAACAAAGGTCGCGGGTTCGATTCTCACCGCTGTCAAGCAAACTCTTCTGCTTGCCCGGTGTGAACACATTAAAAGTAGCGTCAGTAGCAGTGTATGTGACACCTTACAATAATACAATGTTCTATCTATCAGGATACTGGCATGTGTATATTCTATTAATATTTTCCACACTGAGAAGAATAAAATGGTGACATTGCATTATTTGATGATTGTAGTTTGATATGAGAACAGCCAAATCATTGTTGCATTCCCGGGTATATTCCTGCAAAAACAGGCAATAATTATAAACAATAATTATACATATTGTACAATAATTATAAACCCTAACCCAACCCCATCACTCCGTCTCCCTGTCAGGTGCACAGATCACCATAAATTTGTTGTCTTGGTGCCCAAACCCTAAGAATTGAGGGATCGCTCAATAAACCTCATCCCAATAGCATGCTGTTTAGAATTATTTCATATATTAGACAACCTTTCGGATAAATTTTTATCCCAAATTTTAATAATAGACCCTTTCAATAATTACGTCATTTGGCCTGGGAGCCTTGCACTTGTGAATGGAGATCCCGGTCTCCAAGAGCAGGAAAGTATGTGTGACGTAAATATCGGAAGGGTGTATTTACAGGTTACCCTTGAGAATTTGGTTAGAATTCAGGCAATCCCTGAGAAAACCTCATCCCCAATAGCATGCAGTTCAGAATAATAATTCCTAATTTAGACAACCCTTCGGATAAACTTTATTCCAAAAATTTGATAATACATCCTTTCAATAATTATATCATTTGACGTGGGAGCCTTGCACTCATGAATTGTGAGCTGGGACTCCACGAGAAAAAAGTATGTGTTATGTGATGCATTTACAGGTTACTCTGGCAAATTTCGTCAAAATTCAGGCGACCCCTCAGAAAAGCTCATCCATAGGAGTGTGTGTATATTAAATGAATAGTCCATTAGGTGAAACAATGAAATATTGAATTGTCAGACAAATTTACTGTCTTTACTTGTGAAGGTGAAAATGTTGGGTATTAATATGAAAAATGGTTTTGAAAGATTATTCATGCAGTAAACAATGAACATAAATAAATACATTCAACGAAGGGATCTTTGACTCACTGTTCAAGTGGTTAAGTAAACATTAACCTAGCAGCTGAGCCGATCGATGATGTTGAAAATATATGAATAAATACTATGATTTGACTATACGTAGAGGCATCGATTTGTTAAAATTTTGTACTAAATAAACTACCAAAAAAATGAAAAGGTTCATCTCTTATCCAATGTTTTTAAGTTGTTAGCCGTTGTTCTACCCTGTTTCGTCTTGTTATCTATGGCTATAAAGCTTAACCTTTGCTGTCGCATAAGCTGCCAACAATGAAGCGCTTGTATTGTGTTGCTGTATTCCACGGCATTTTTACAATTTCATTGCACAATTATGAAAAAACCCAAAAACATACGATTGTAAATGGACACTATATCTTTCAAATCACACAATAACGAAAAAATGAGAGCATAAAGAAAAATGATATAACTAGCCGAAATTTGTGTACTTTAGCGACTTCCTTTGAAACTTGGTAACTAGCGCGAATGCCCGGAAGAAGAGCCAGGAAACTAGAATAATAATAAAGTAACCTTGGCAATAATTGGGATAAAAATAATCCACAGAATGTCCTCTTCCACACTCGTATATACCTAAATATTCTTACACATCCTAGAAAAGTAGCAGAAGCAAGAGAAAAAGCTTGATTTTCAAAATTAGAATTAGTTACCAGTCTTACATTTTTTTCCGCCGGGTAATTAGAAAAATAGTGGACACTTGTAATTGGCGATTTTGGCTGCATTTTTGACAGGCATAGTTGGCAATTAATGTGTGATTTGATGATGCAAATGAATTTGATATGCATGGTTGGACATAAGTAGATTTGAAATATATCTTGAGCAGATGAGGAAAGTAGTGAGATATTGTAAATTTAGTTGTTGTTGTACTATTGTGATATAATATTGTAATAATATTGTAAGACTATAGTTGTAATTTGTATATCTGTGCGGCACGCATTTTGACAGTGACGGTGTGTATTTCGAATTGGCAAGAAGACTGTTAGTACAATTTTCATGTATGTTGCACGAGTAAGTAGTTTTTTAAATATATGTTGAATAGATGGGGAAAGTGGAGACTATATGCAGTGATTGAGATATCTTAAATTCAGTCCTTGTTGTACAACTGTTGTAGTATTGTTGTGGTATTGTTGTCCTAATATTGTTTGTACTATTGTTATTGTATTATTGTGGTTGTACTATTGTTGTAGTATTATGAATGTACTGTTGTTATATTAATGTTATAAGTATTATTGGTGTATTTGATATAACTTGTGTCCATGGTGGTGTTGGAGATGGTTTTTTAGTGCCAGAGGTCGGTCCAAGACTGGAAAAGCGATCGATTTCCTAACTCGAAGATGCCGATTTTTAGAAAAAACCGGAGTTTTAAAGTTGTACATCGCGCAAAAAAGTCACCCTAACCCTAACCCGCCCTCAGGAATGCTAGGAATGTCAGGAATGTGTGGAATGCATGGAATGGAATGCGCTTGTCATTTCTATATATATAACTTTTCGTCATTCCTAAATATAGCATTTTTTTCTGAAAAATTTCTCATTCCACGTCTTGTTTAAAATACGTTTCTCGACTCGCTAATCATTTTTGTCTACGCAACTTTGGTACCTTTTTTCCAATTTTCCCTATTTTGGTAATTTTAGATTTCGAATTTGGTAATTTATATTTCTTCGTTTTAATGGATAGACTAGAATAATCTAAGCTCAAATTTGTTGTCAGAATAAATTGAAACATTTTTCTCTATTTTTTATGATTTTTTAAAGTTTTTTTTAAAAATTTTTTGAAAAATTTTTTTAAAATTTTTATAATAACGTCACTAGACGTTTGAAAAATTATATTAATTGATTAACTAATTTAATTAATTAATATTTAAAAGATGAATTGTTTAATAAATTAATTTAGTTATTCAATTGTTAATTAAATAGCTAATTATTTAATTTAGTCAATCAATTAACTAAATCATTAATTAATTACTCAATTATAGTTCGAATTATTACTGAATTAATGAATTAATTAATCAATTAATTAATTTATATAATTGGTGGCCTTTTGACAAATTTATCAAAGGGCCACATGGCCCCATGACAAATTTTGTCACAGGGCCATTGGCCCCATGAAAAATTTTGTCACAGGGCTAGCTAGGCCCCAAATTAGGGTTAGGATATAATTGGTGGCCTTTTGACAAATTTATCAAAGGGCCACATGGCCCCATGACAAATTTTGTCACAGGGCCATTGGCCCCATGAAAAATTTTGTCACAGGGCTAGCTAGGCCCCAAATTAGGTTTAGGGTTAGGGTTAGGGTTAGGGTTAGGAATTAGGGTTAGGGTTAGGGTTAGGGTTAGGGTTAGGGTTAGGGTTAGGGTTAG